AAGTACTGGCAAGCCAAAGCTACTACTATTATCAATTTCATGCCTTTGTAGAGTTTACTCAGACTCTAGTACTACTTTATAAACTATTAGAAGTATTTCCCAAATTTTAAACTACCAATCTAGATGGCCCAAAGAGAACTTTTACCTAAATGTTACCAGTCTTCTAATAACTGCAAATTAAATAGATCTTTTTTTTCTGATTCTGGTGGCCTGGTTGGTGGAAGTATCTTCTTAAACACTTTATCTATTGAGTTTTCCTAGTTTGATCTGACTAGTTAAATTACCAATTCAGATAGTCTGAAAGGGACTTTCGCTTATAAGTTATTGGTCCTTTAGTAACCGCAATTAAGTGGATCTTTTTTCTCTGGCTCTGGCAGTCTGGTTGGTAGAGTACTTTGCTATATACCTTAATTCTGTTTAGTTTTCTGATTTTTTCTAATAATAATCCTTTACATAGTACTATTAAAAGTTTGTACTACTTCTTTACTCAGATCTTGCCAAGTGGATATCCATCTCTCCGGTTTCTTGGTTTTATATAGATGATAATTTCTTAGATATCTGGTATGATCTTGGTACAAATCCTAAATCTGACTGATCAATAAAAGACAGTAACTGTTCTATAACAGAATATTTGAATTTTGTTGACAGTAGAATTCAAACTCTGGATATGCTGCTTGGAGTATGACAACTTCACTATTTCATTAAGTAGCTACACTCTCATTCTTAATTTGAAAGACTGTATTTATAAACTTATTATATAATGATTGCATATTCTCTTTTGGAGCTTTTAAGAAAGAAGCAGCTGGTAGATTGACTCTAGCCCACTTTTTCAAAACTGTTCTTTTAATCTCTTCTATATTATCCAACTGACTATTAAAGTTATTTTAAAAAGTATTTTAGAATTAGTTATATTAGATGCGAGTTTATTTAAATAATTTCACTTTATATCTGATATGATAATGTAGAAGATCTTTCTCAAATCTATCTTTAACCTTTTTATAACAAAAAGAATGGTCCCATATAGATTATCTTTTAAAATATTTATATCTCCTATTTTTATTACTATACAATACAATCATGTTTATATCTAAATTCTTGTAACTATTAATACTATAATAAGATTTTCTAAATAACTCAAAACTCTTTTTACTATTGTTACTATTACTATTAATATAAGAATCTGATATCATAAAAAAAGAATACAACAATAAAGATGCTAAATAAAAAAGATTATCATAAGTTAATTTACAGTTAGACCATCCTAAATGCAACCTCTATAAATACAATATCTCCCTAAATGTACGTTTTTGTCTTGGCTATATGAAATCATTAGTG